ATATAATGTGTAGAGTATGTTTATACACAATCAATTTCAATGAATGCTCAATTTAACAGTCATGCTTTCTGGCAAAGCTTTTATCTTTATTAGTATTCCTCTCAGGCTTTCGATTATTTTTTTAAGGCAGTAAGAGTAAAGTATTTAATTTATAATATTTATTATGTATTAATACGCAACCTACGCATAGATTTCCTATTTGTATTTCATAATACTAACTGATATTACTTATACGCATAGATAAGAAGGCTCTACGATTAATTATCTTTAAGCTTGTTGCGCGGGGCTTTCGATTGATAACTGTGGCCATGCACAACATTGATAATTTTGCGAAATAAAATTTTAAATATCACTATGAAAATGTAGAAGAGGACCAGACTGACAATGAGAACCACTACATGGACATCAAGATTATTTCTGGATACGAAATCCATGTGAATGAGAGGACTTTGTAGATGAAAGGCTCCCCGATGTCGCAAAACGTATTCGGTCCAGTAGACAACCGATTGACGGGCCGTTAAAGGACGATCCCTGTAGAGGTTGGAAAACTTTCCGATAGTCTCGCGGTATGAGGGATTCTCCAACACTTCATGGATACTCTCCTCCAATTCTTCCGCCGTCAATGTGACAATATCCAGCCAACGACCAAAGCCAGATTTTGTCATGATCTCAGCATTTCCCTGTTGGTCTCCGAAAATTGGTATTGCCAGCATTGGTACTCCATGATATTGGGCCTCCGCCACTCCACCCTTTCCTGCATGAGTTATGAACAATTTGGTCTTAGGATGAGCCAGGATATCGTCCTGTGGCAGCCAGTTGTTAAAGTATATGTTAGAGGCATTGCCCGGCTTGTTTTTAGGGTCCTCCCATTTCCAAACCACTCTCTGTGGCAATTTGGACAGCACCTTGTACAGGATATCCACGACGTCCGGTCGAAAGGTATTTGTATTCACATTGGTGCCCAAACTGAAGAATATTGCTCCATCGTCAGCATTATCTAGGAACTCTTTTAGCTCCTTGGGCAGTGGATCGGGTTGCTCCTTCACTTGAATTCCACCGATTTCAATCGACGCGGGAACTGTGGGTCTAATGGGTCCTTCGCTGGGAGAATGGTAATTGTAGAACAGCAAGGAGATGCGACGTTTCATCTCATAATAGGTTGGAAACTCCGTGCTTGATTCATTGGCAAAAGCTCGTCTAAAAAAATAAGTTTAATAATAAATTAACAGTCTTTATATAAGATAATTATGTTTGTGGTACTTACATATACATCTGGTTCATCTTCCAGTTCAATAGGTAATAAATAGTGCTCAAGAAGGAATGCTTGAAGAAGTTTCCAAATCTTTGTTTAAAATTCATGGTGTTCTGCCCCTCATCAAGGACCACATTTAAACTGGGTACATAGGAAGGATCATTGACATTTCCAACAACACTATCCATGAAAGGCAAAGGCACTCCCACCCAAGTTATAATAACCGGGCAGTTGAGCTTAGCAGCAATTCCTAGCTGAAAGTCGTTGGCCATCGAACCCAAAAACACTAAATCAAACTTCGTCTGTGGGATTTCGTAGAGCTCCTTGAAACTGGGATGAACCATGAACTCCATCTGCCCTTCGAACTGTTCACCCGCTTGGACAACGGCTTTAGCAAAGGTCTTCCAGATGGAAGTCTTATCGTTGGATGTTTCGGCCATATATTCCTTTATAAACTTTTGTCGTTCCGGTGTGGGTGGCGCCACAATAACTGTTATATTTTCATGGGCCGCCAGTTTGGGCTTCATTTGGGTCACCACCGTGATGTTGTGACCCCGATCGGCCAGAGTTTTCATTACTGCCATGTGCACGATCACATGGGAAGGACTGTGCGTGCCGAAAATTCCCAAAATGTTGGCTCCATTGCTTATTTGGGTTTCGGTGCCCAGAAGTATCACAAGTAAACACGCAATTACGCTGTATTTAATCATTGTTAACTTTCCTAATGGACGAGTAATAATTGACTAAATTTCGTTTCCATTTGTGTGCTAACTTTTATAGCTATGCCTGAAATGTAGACGTAGAGTGACGTTTTTCAGTTTAATTGATAACGGCTTAGTGTTTGTGCTACTCCGCAATGACTGAGCATGTGTAAATCTTACTAGGGACGTCCTATATGGTTTATCGCTATTGCTAGGGTCTGGCGAAGTATCGCGTGTCTGCCACCAAGTCATGATTAAATGCTTTTAAAAAGTACTAACTTATCAACAAACAAAATTCTAATCAATTTATTGGTGTTGTTTGAAGAGTCAGTTTGAAACCGAAACCAAATTTTACTCACGAATATACGGAAGTAACTTTCCACAGATTTTTGTAATTGTGTTCCCACCAAAGGAAGGCTCTTAAATTATAATTTAAAATCAGGAAGAATAATTATTAGTATTAATTTTTGTATTTTTGCACATACTAATATTTTATTAAATTATACAGTTCTCTAAATAAATTTAATTTATTTTTTCTTTTTACTCTTTGATACTTTCGGTTTGCCCCAAAGTTTGTTCCAAACTAGTTTCGCAACCAGTCGAGAAAGAAGAACAAATAGGATCAGGAATGTTAAAATTAATGCGTATATATCCAGATTGTTTAGCTCAATGAAGTTCATATGCACCACTGGACTTTGCAGATGATTAGCACCATGATGTCTTAGGACGTATTCGGTCCAATACACAGCCGACTGCTTTGAAGTTAGAGGTCGATCCCTGTACAGATCGGAGAACTTTCCAATAGCCTGGCTGTACTTCTTGTTTTCCAGAACCTCTTTTAAAGTTTCCCTTAAGCTATCCTCTGTTATTGACAGCAAATCGCTAGCGAGGCCATATCCGGATTTCTCCATGAGAGCAGCGTTTCCGGGTTGATCCCCAAAAATGGGCAAAGCCACCATGGGAACACCATGGTACTGGGATTCGGTAATGCTTCCCTTTCCGGCATGCGTGATGAACAGCTTTGTGTTTGGATGGGCCAGGATGTCATCTTGTGGCAGCCAGTTCTTATAGAGAATGTTTGCTGCCTCGCCGGGAGTATTTTCCAGATCCTCCCACTTCCAAATAACATTTTCTTTTAGTTCAGAAAGAACTTTAAAGATGATCTGGACTATTTCCGGTTTAACGGTTGAGCTCTTGATGTTGGATCCAAGGGATAAAAATACAGCTCCCTGGGTGGACTTATTCAGAAACAGATCAATGTCCTTGGGCAGAGGATCCGGCTTATCCTTCACTTGGATGCCTCCAATTTCCACAATGGCAGGAACCAGAGGTCTAATGGGACCCTCACTGATCAAATGGCAGCCAACGAAGACCAAGGATATGTTCCTTTTCAAGTCATTCAGAGTTGGCTGACCTTTTTCCGTGAATATTTCATTATAAATGCGGGTCACCTTATTTTCAAATGCATATGTTATGTACTGGAAAAACAGTGAACTAACCAAGTTTTTCGCTCGCATAAGCAAACTCATGGGATGTGTTACAACAGTGCCCAAAGTGGGCACATACGAGATCTCCGAGGGATTACCCGTAAACTGATCAATTACAGGAATAGGTGCCGCCATCCAGTTTACAATAACAGGAATCTTCAGCTTGGCAGCCACTCCCAGTTGGAAGTCGTTGACAAAGTATCCCAGAATCATCAAATCGAATTTGGTATCGTAAATGCGCTGGAACCTTGGATCGGAAAGCAGTTCAGCCTGAGCTTTGATCATCACATCCAGTTCATTCAGAACGCGATTCATAGTGCTAAATAATGAATTCTTTTGGCCTGCCAATTCGGTCATATGCTTTTCCATAGCTTGCTGCTGATCGTCCTTCATCGGCACCACAATCACGTGGATGTCCTTGTGCGTTACCTTGGGTTTTAGCATCGAGACCACGGTGACATTGTGTCCTGCTTCGGCAAGAGCCTTGGCCACCGACATATGGATGATCAGGTGGGAGGGACTGTGACTGCTGAAGAGCCCCAAAATATTGGCTCCTTGGGTGGAAGCCACCACAGCGAAAAGCAACAAAAGTACGCAGCGAACCGAAAACATTTTGGTAAAACTTTTCGGCACCTGTCCGCTGAATATCAAAACAAAAACTGAAGAGAATCGGTTGTGTGGTCAGCTATTTATTAGTTAGCGCTATGAGTTTAGGAAATCAGCCAATTATGTAGCTCCCTTCCATTCCAAATTATATTCTTATCAAAGCTCTTAAATAGTCTGAATCGACTCTTTCCATTAATTTACAGCAGTTAATTTAGACCTTTCCTTTAAAAGTTTTTTATAAGGATTCATTTATTAAAAATTGAAGAGAAACTTAGGTAGGATTCCTTGAGGATAACTTAAGGTACAACACAAGGATCTGTCCTCGGACCAACGTTGTGGAATGCTATGTACGACGGGGTACTGAGGCTGAAACTCCCGGACAAGGCGAACATCGTGGGATATGCAGACGACATTGCGCTTGTAGTAGTGGACAAAAGGCTGGACCTGTTAGAGGCGAAATGCACGGACGCCGCATCACGGATACAAAGATGGCTCAGGAACGCTGGGTTAGAGCTAGCAGCACAGAAGACGGAAGCAGTACTGATAAGTGCACGCAGAAAAAAGGAGAAAATGATAATTGCTATTGATGGTCATGAAATAGTTTCCCAAGAAGCCATTAAATATCTTGGAGTTCTGATCGACACGAGATTAAGCTTCAAGCAGCACCTAGTGGGAGTAAGCGGTAAGGCATCAGCGGTCACGAGAGCCTTGACAAGAATACTTCCCAACGTAGGAGGACCCCAAGGGCAACGAAGGGCATTATTGTCAACGGTTGCAGACTCCATCACTATGTACGCAGCACCGATCTGGGCAGGAGCCAAAAAGTCCCATCTGCGAGGGATAACACAGATATACAGACAAAGTGCTCTACGAATAGGCTGCGCATACAGAACGGTATCAAACGATGCAATCTGTGTCATCGCGGGAAAGCCACCAGTCGACCTGCTGGCAGAGGAGCTGTCTCGTCTGTACAGCAAGCAAGGAGTGAGGCCAACACGCGAACAAAAAGAGGCCGAAAGAGCGCGGTCCATACGAAAATGGCAGCAACGGTGGGACCAATCGGATGATGGACGCTGGACCTATAAACTTATACCACAAATAAGTGAGTGGATAAAAGGTGGACACGGCGATGTCGACTACTACACAACGCAGATCATCAGCGGTCACGGCTGTTTCCGCGGATACCTTCATCGTTTTCGGCTAGCAGACAGTCCATTTTGTCCCAACTGCCCCAACGAAATCGAAAGCGCAGAACATGTTGCTTTCCACTGCGATCGCTTCGAAGAAGAACGACGAACACTGGAGGCAGTACTTGGGCACTCTCCATCTGCTGAAATTATCACGCACGATATGTGCTCTTCCAGAGATAAATGGAAGGCAATGACAGCGTTCGCATACTCTGTGATGACAAGGCTCCAAGAACTGGAGCGGGAACAAAGGAGGACACCAGAACTGACGACGTTAACAGACGCCTGAGTTCATAGCTCATAACAGAACCAGACAGAAGACAAATCGATTGCGCTTGATCCCAGGCAAAATCGCTTCCGACGTTCCACTCATGTGGAACTATCGATGCGTATCGTCTCCATACGCCAAGGACAGGGGACCCGGACGCGGGTACCAGGCGTGCTAACAGCACAAAACGGCTCCACCCCGTAGTAATGTTTACTCGGTTCCGGGGTGGAATTCAGCCAGGGGAGGAGGATTGTTATAGGTTAGTGGGTGCAAGCCCCACACACCATTAGTGCGACGGCACTTTTGACGGTGTCTTCAGGCATTGGATTTTAACCTCCTCAAAAAAAAAAAAAAAAAAAAAAAAAAAAGGTACAACATTTTATTTCATGCCTTCAATTATTTTTGCAATAAATAGGTGAGCCACAGCAGTTATCAGCCTTCGCATTTGCTTATCGGCTCTCTCTTTAATTCCCACCGATACTTTTATCTAACTACTTTTAAAGGTCTGTCTCGACGCTATTTTCTTTATGAGAATACGTCTACCATATTTGTATTTAAAAAATAAAAATAGGCAAACAGCTATGTGAATTTTATAAATCTATGATTTACCCATGCTACGATTGTGTATTTATCAACCAATTATTAAGCAGATAAGCCGTTCTCGAAGTTGCACTAATGTCCTTTGTACACTTTCACAAAATAAGGATCATAAATTAAATTTTTTGAATGAAAGAATTTTAAAAGTACATAACTTTGTGTATGTAAAAGGTATTTTATTTAAATTAAAAATCACATTTTTTATATAGATTATTGTCTCTTTTTCGCCTCAGAGATTTTTGCCCTGCCCATTAGCTTTCTCCACACCAATTTTGAAACTAGTCTGGTCAGGAAAATAAAGACTACCAGAATAGTTAAAAGAAGAGCGTAGATATCCAAATTGTTTAGCTCAACGAAGCTCATATGCACCGCAGGACTCTGCAGGTGGGGGGCTCCATGATGCCTAAGGACATACTCGGTCCAGAAAACCACCGACTGTTTTGCAGTTAGCGGTCGATCCCTGTACAGCGCGGAGAATTTTCCAATAGCCTGACTGTACTTTTTGTTTTCCAGAACTTCTTTAAGGGTTTCCCTCAGGCTTTCTTCTGTTATTGAAAGCAAATCGATAGCAAGGCCATATCCTGATTTCTCCATGAGAGCAGCGTTTCCGGGTTGATCCCCAAAAATAGGCAAAGCCACCATGGGAACACCATGGTACTGGGATTCGGTAATGCTTCCCTTTCCGGCATGCGTGATGAACAGCTTTGTGTTTGGATGGGCCAGGATATCATCTTGTGGCAGCCAGTTCTTGTAGAGAATGTTTGCTGCCTTGCCGGGTGTGTTCTCCAGATCCTCCCACTTCCAAATTACATTCTCCTTCAGTCCCGATAGTACTTTAAAGATGATCTGGACTATTTCCGGCTTCACCGTAGAGCTTTTAATGTTTGATCCAAGCGATAGAAAGACAGCTCCCTGGGTTGACTTGTTCAAAAATTGGTCAATGTCCTTGGGCAGTGGATCCGGCTTATCCTTCACTTGGATGCCTCCGATTTCCACAATGGCTGGCACCAAAGGTCTTATGGGACCCTCACTGATCAAATGACAGCCAACGAAGGCCATGGAGATGTTTCTTCTCAACTCATTCAGAGTTGGCTGATCTTTTTCCGTGAATATTTCATTATAAATGCGGGTCAGCTTGATATCAAAAGCAGTGGTAATGTAATTGAAAAACAGTGATATGCCCAAGTTCTTGACACGCATAAACAAACTCATGGGATGCGTTACAACAGACCCCAAAGTGGGAACATACGAGATCTCCGAGGGATTACCAGTATACTGATCAATTACAGGAACTGGTGCCGGCATCCAGTCGACAATCACAGGAACCTTCAGCTTGGCAGCAACTCCCAGTTGGAAGTCGTTGATAAAGTAACCCAGAATCATCAAATCGAATTTGGTATCGTAAATACGCTGGAATCTCGGGTCAGAGAGCAGTTCAGCCTGAGCATTTATCATCACATCCAATCCATTCAGAAGGCGATTCATAGTACTAAATATGGAATTCTTCTCGCCTGCCATTTCGCTCATTTGCTTTTCCATAGCTTCCTCCTGATCGTCCCTCATCGGCACCACAATCACATGGATGTCCTTGTGCGTTACCTTGGGCTTCAGCATCGATACCACGGTAACATTATGTCCTGCTTCGGCAAGAGCCTTGGCCACCGACATGTGGATGATCAGGTGGGAGGGACTGTGACTGCTGAAGAGCCCCAAAATATTGGCTCCTTGGGTGGAAGCTACCACGGCGAAAAGCAACAAAAGTACGGAGCGAACCGAAAACATTTTAGTTAAATTTTCCGGCACCTGTCCGCTGAACACCAAAACGAAAACTGAAGAGAATCGGTTGCGCGGCAAGCTATTTATTAGTTAATGCTATGAGATTATGAAGTCAGCCGATTGGCTCCCTTCCATTCCAAATGATACTCTTATCAAAGCTCTTGAATTATCTGAACCGACTCTTTCCATTTATTTGGGGTGTTAAACATTTTACGGTAGTTAATTTTGTTCTAATTTTTAACAGTTTTTTGAAAAGGATTCACTTATTAAAATCAAAGAGAACATAAAAAAAGTTTAGATAGAGGATTAATTGAATTCAATCACTTTATTTCATGATTTCAGTTATTTTTGCAAATAAATAGGTTACCCACAACAGCTATCATGGATTTGATTCGCTTATCGGTACTCTCTTAAATGCCCAACGATACTCTTATCTAACTGCTTTGAAGGTCTGACTCGACTCTTTTCTAATTTATGAGAATATGTACGTTTGACCTTTAATGTTAACAAAGAACAGTTAAGAGAATTTTATAAATTGATAGTTAAAATCTAGAAATGTCCTCCTGTTTTCTTCAGAATTTATCACAAGCTGTAAACAATTTTTTAAGCCGATAAACCGTTCTTTAAGTTGCCCTTATGTTTTCGGTAAACTGAGAGATAAGGTTACACATCGTAAATAAAATTTTCGAAATATAATGATGACAGGGTAATTTTTTAAATAAAAGAAATTTTAAAGTAAACGCGTTTGTGTATGTAATACAATAAATATTTTATTAAAATTGGGTAATCTACAATTGTACATTTTAGAACTTATTTTTTTATTTATTGTCTCTTTTTTGCATCGGAGATTTTTGCTTTACCCATTAGCTTGCTCCAAACTAATTTCAAAACTAGTCTGGTCAGGAAAATAAAGACTACCAGAATAGTTAAAAAGAAGAGCGTAGATATCCAAATTGTTTAGCTCAACGAAACTCATATGCACCGCAGGACTCTGCAGGTGGGGTGCTCCACGATGCCTCAGGATATACTCAGTCCAGTAAACCACCGACTGTTTTGCAGTAAGCGGTCGATCCCTGTACAGGGAGGAGAATTTTGCAACTGCCTGTCTGTACTTTTCGCTATCCAAGACTTCCGTGATGGCCTTTCTGAAACTATCTTCTGTAATAGTGAGTAAATCGAGAGCCAGTCCATATCCCGATTGTTCCATTGCTGCAGCGTTTCCGGGTTGATCTCCAAAAATGGGCAAAGCCACCATGGGAACACCATGGTATTGGGACTCGGTGATGCCACCTTTTCCCGCATGTGTGATAAAAAGTTTGGTGTTAGGATGGGCCAAAATGTCATCCTGGGGCAGCCAGTTCTTATACAGAATGTTGGAGACATTGCCTGGCGTATTTTCTAAGTCCTCCCATTTCCAGATAACATTCTGCTTCAGGCCCGATAAGACTTTGAATATTATCTCTACAATTTCTGGCTTCACAGTGGAGCTCTTGATGTTGGAGCCAAGGGATAAGAAGACAGCTCCCTGAGTTGATTTATTCAAAAAATTCTTCAATATCCTTTGGCAGTGGATCCGGCTTATCCTTCACTTGGATGCCTCCGATTTCCACAATGGCAGGAACCAGGGGTCTAATGGGACCTTCGCTGATCAAATGGGAGCCGACAAATACCAAGGAGATGTTCCTTCTCAGTTCATTTAATGTTGGATAATTTTTATCTTCACCGTAGTATTTCTCATAAATGCCGGTTACTTTGGACTCAAGCAGGGTAGAAATGTAGGTCATGAAAAGGTGTTTGCCAAGGTTTTCAGCTCGTTTAAGTAAACCCATGGGATGCGTTGCCACAGTGCCTATGTTGGGCACATATGAGATCTCCGAGGGATTACCAGTGAACAAATCAATTATTGGGTTGGGTGCTGTCATCCAGTCAACAATAACAGGAACCTTCAGTTTGGCTGCTACTCCTAATTGAAAGTCGTTAAGGAAGTAACCCAAGATCATCAAATCGAATTTTGTCTCGAAAATGCGAAGGAATCTTGGATCATTGAGCAGATCAGCTTGGGCATTGATCATCACGTCCAGGCCATTTAAAAGGCGATACATTGTGCTTATGATGGAGTTCTTTTTCCCAGCCATAGTGGTCATTTGGTTTTCCAGAGTCAGCTCCTGTTCCTTCGTCACTGGCACCACAATCACATGGATGTCCTTGTGCGTTACCTTGGGTTTCAGCATCGATACCACTGTAACATTGTGTCCTGCTTCAGCAAGAGCCTTTGCCGTCGACATGTGGATTATCAAGTGCGAGGGACTATGACTGCTGAAGAGCCCCAAAATATTGGCTCCCTGGGCAGAAGCAACTACTACTGCTAGTACCCATAAAATAATGCAGCGATTCGCGGACATTTGGTTGTTATTTTTGCTTAACTTCTCCGGTCAAAAATAAAACTAAACTGATGGGAATCGGTTACGCGGCCAGCTATTTATTGGAGAATGTGGTCAACCGATTCGCTTATCAACCACTTCGAATCCAAAAGATAATCTTTAAAATGAAGCTCCCACTATTTATTTGAAGGCAGTAACGAGCTACAGGATGGTTTGAGGTTTATGTTTTCTTTACAAAAATAATTATTTAATTAACATGGTTATTCCTAATTATCAGGCTGCTTAGCTTAAGAGTGCATTTAACATTTATATTCCATATGATGTCACCTAAACAATACATAAAATACTTTTTGATTCAGTTACAAAAAAGATAAAAAAGGAACAAACGAAAACATATTTTTTTCTAAACTTCTTTGTTTTATAATAAACATGTAGCATGTGTTTTTAAATCAATGAACACCTATTAGTTCACATTCGCGTTGCCATGATGACCAAGCAAAAATTAGGTTCATATCTCCATTTAACTCAGTGAACAGTTAATATGTGACTGCTACCACAAAACTATCAAGATCAGTCAACAACAGCTGAACTCTTACCTCAATGGTGTGTGGTAATATGTTAAAATTTAAGTAAAGTGCCTATAAAACCTGATTAAATTGACCATAACAGCTGCTTTTAAAGATATCATAACCAACACCATTAAAAACCGGAAACGCACAGAAAGCTTTTAACCGACGTAAACAAAAAGATTAAGAGAAACAAAAGAAGCTTTTTTGATAAGAGCATATATGCTCTTTAGGTTAAAACGAAATATTTTATAAGAGAATATATAAACAATATTTACTTATGTTTTTAAATTAATTAACTTTGGTAATCTTACCCATTTACAAACTAACCATCTCCCTCCCCAGTTATAATAATTGACTAAATAAAATCAGGCACTATTTCATCTTTTTGCTACCCGGTGGCAAAGGATTCTTCTTTATCCTTAGAAGCTGCTGATTTTGTCCCTTAATGTGATGCCAGTGGTTGATCTCCCTCAATTCCACATCGAACTCTTTCATCGTTGCATTCAACTCGGGATAGAGATGTTTAAGCACTCCATGATCCAAGGTGGGAAACAAGTGGTGCAGGGCATGTTCACCAAAGTGGGTAAGCACCAAGAGATCCGACCACTTGATGTCTCCCCGATCTATGATCGTGTCTATCTGATAGAGACCCCAATCGATATCTTTTCGTTGGGCATCGCCATCGTGTAAAATGCGAGGATCATGATGGGCTGCTGTTAAACCAACAAGTCCAAATATAAAGCTGCCTATGGCTACGATAATTTCCCAACTAACAAGAGTTGGAAGTAAACCAACACCAGAGGAAAAATATAAAAAGATCGGCAGACTCAAGCCAATAAGATCATCCCAATGCATAATATTGCGTTTAGTCAGTGAGACAGCCAACCTGTAAAGAAAGTATATCCATAAATACGTAAAATGAAGTAATATTTTACTTACTAGTAACTCACCGTATAAGAAATTGTCCTTGGAAAAGGACAACGTAGACCACAGGTGAGATAATCACAGATATCCAACGTTGCGTTTTACTTGCATAATGACTATCGGGAATCCAACATAAAAATGGTTCAAACATTGACATTTCCAGATCATGTAGCGAATTTGCATAAACATGGTGGGATATAGCATGCGATATTCTCCAATTTCGGAAGTTCATCATAGTCAAATTAAAAGTATACATCTGCCAATTGTCCCTCTGATGAAAGTAATTATGTGTGGAGGTGGCCACCCAGCAAAGGGACAAACCAGCAAGAATTTGGAAAATCAGGGAGTCCAAAATAGTGCCTAACCAGCTGAAGAGGAACAGGGATACCAGGATGCCAAAATGCAGGAACTGAAAGATAGAACATATTTAGTTAGAACTTAAGGGGGTTTAAGATTCCTTTCTAAAAATCTTTTTTTCTTCATAGTTAGTTTAAAATACTGATTATAAAACGACAACTAACTTATTGATCTCTGAAACTAAGTATACCTCTGTTTTTTTGGTTGGAGAGTAATCAATCTTTTTCAGCTTTTCTCGCACTCTCCGCTTCAGGGTCATGTAAAACCCATTTTCCTTAAGCGTAAACTTGTAGTTACGAGGTTTTGAGGCCTGTCGCACTTCAAATTTGCTTAGCATTCCCCGAGCTCGTTCCTCGATGTGATGCGACTCAAAGGGCTCTGTAATATCCGTGCCCCGGGTGCATTCAATCCAAGAGGCGCCACCCGGATGGCGAGAGGCAAAATCACTCAAGTCGTATAGCTTATCGTTAATGCGCCAAAGACCTTCGGCCTCGTCATCGGCATGTTTGCCCTCCAGCCAGCTAAGCAAGTAAAAATTATATTAATTTGTATTTACTACTTCTATTCGTAGTTATTAAGATAAATACCTCTCACTTGTTATGGGTCGATGCTGGCGGTAACTTGGATAAGTCCTTGATATTCCCGATACCTTCCAGGAGTCATCCTCCTGTATATGTGGTGCCATCACCTCCTTAGCTTGCTGATCGATCTAAACGCTTGAAATATGTTATTTTTAACATAGGAAAGTACTCTGTATCTTACTGATAGCCAGCTGATTGGATCCCAAGTTCAACTTAGTAGCCAACGAAATAACCGGTCGCTTTGTGCACCCCCAGTGAAGACAAACCGCAGAGTTTGTTTACGTAGCGCCTACTAAACTTTTATTTAGAGCGTCGCTCGGTTTTTGTCTTCGTATTATACTCGCCCGATCAATTAGTAAAGCTCTGATCCGAGAGTGTTTCCGATCGAAAGCTTTGCGCTCTTTGGCGCTCGTTTCTTATCATGGGTCAAATGGAAATTTCAAATAATATGTAAATGGTATTCAGTACATACCTCTTTTAAATGTCAGTGTAAGCATTTTTTCAGTTCACAACTCGCCTTTCAAATCTTCACGACAATATTAAATACTTTTTTTAAATTTGAATATTTTCTAATATATCATTTAATATATCCCATAGATGCATAATACAATTTTCACAAAATTAGCATTGAGAAAAAGTATTTTGTATTTCTTTAAAGTTCTAGAACTTTAAAATATATGAGTACCCCCAACAATCGGTGATAACTGATAGCTTTCGGCTAGACCCTCGCCAGCCAAGCGAAGCCTCAATTTGCCGCGAAGCCATAACAGTGTTTATTATCACCGCACTGACCTATTGCCGTCGAAGTCTGGCCAGACCGACCATGTGGTGCTCGAACATACCCACTTAGAGATTTTACCTAACGAAATTCTGATAGCGGTAGACTCCCGGTAAAAAGAATATGAGAATATGACAGCTTTAGAGCCGGCAGCTGTACCCCACGGCTCTGCACTGATAAGGTAGACTTCTTATCAAAATGGAAACGTTTTGTTTATAAATTTGAATCGATTTTCGGTTTATGTAATCTGTCGAGATTCGCACTGCCCATAAAATCAACGGACCAGTGCCGGTGCCTATCAGTTAGTAGCTGGAATCGCAGCCAGCAGGGGCCTTATTCGGTCTAGGAGTTCTGCCAAGGAAGTCAAGGATCAAAAGGACTCGCCACAATGGTGATCGAGGAGTGGAAGAAAAGTGGCATTGCCACCAAGTTTCCCACCTATCGCAATTCGCCTTTGATTACCACACACAGCTGGCAGAAGGGCAAACGGGAGGACGATCGAGCCGAAGGACTCTGGCGCATCTACGATGGAATCTATGACTTCACCGAGTTCATTGACAAACATCCTGGCGGTTCTTTCTGGATTCGGGAGACCAAGGGAACGGATATTACGGAGGCCTTTGAGGCACATCATCTTAACGCAGGTCCTGAGAAGATGATTGCCAAGTACAGGGTTAAGGATGCGGACGAGCCAAGGATCTACACCTTGACCCTCGAGGAGGATGGATTCTACAAGACCCTCAAGAAGCGAGTGCGCGAGAAACTAAGAACTGTCGACAAGAGCCCCAAGAAAAAAAGTGATGTGAGTATAAAGGGAATGAAATTATTTAGAGAAATGGGCGTGAACCGTATTTAGTTCATATCAAATAAGTTTTTCTTATCAGTTACATACTAATTCGGAGCCAACCACACTTATAAGAACCCAAATGAAAACTAATCTAATATTTCACGTGTCGCAGCAACTCATGGAACTCATGGTGGTGATAAGGAAACGTATTATAGTGAAATGGTTTCTATATTTCTATAAAAAGAATAAATATAACATTTTGAACTATAATATTTTTAAATTCTATCAAGAAATGTTGAAATGTATTCCTCTTATTTTTAATTACTCTTGATAACCATGATTATAAAGTTAGATGAATTGCGCTTTGATAATATTGAATAACTCTTCAAAAACTATTTTAGCTGATCCATTACGGACTGATTGCGTCGCTTTACATCTTTGGCATTGCCAGTGCCAAGTACAATAGCCTTTTGGCCTTGGTCGTGGCGGGTGTGGCCCTCTGCTGGACGGTGATTGTGTCCCACAACTACTTCCATCGTCGGGACAACTGGCAGATGTACGCCTTCAATCTGGGTATGATGAACTTCGCCGCGTGGCGGGTGTCCCATGCCCTGTCCCACCACATCTACCCGAATTCGTACTTCGATCTGGAGCTCTCGATGTTCGAGCCGCTGCTGTGCTGGGTACCAAATCCGCACATCAAGAGCAAGCTGATGCGCTATGTGTCGTGGGTCACGGAACCGGTAGCCTATGCCCTCGCCTTCTTTATACAGATTGGCACTCGGTGAGTGTGTGATCGCGATCTGGACGTCAGCAGAAGTCTTATCAGTGATCGTTTTATTGATTGATATTGCAGTATTTTCTACTCGCTGCGCCACACGAACATCCTCTACTGGCACGATCTTCTGCCACTCACTATTCCAGTCGCCATTTACCTGGGAACTGGGGGATCGCTCGGTGTTTGGATTTGCATCCGCCAGTGGCTCGCGATGACGTCGATTGCCAGCTTCAGTTTCTGTGTGATCGGCTTGAATGCCGCTCATCACGATCCGGAAATCTACCACGAGGGCGATACGAATCGCGAGGATCGCGATTGGGGTCTCTTCCAGGTGGACACAATCATTGACCGCGGCGATCTCAAGTGGTCCCAGTTCCTGGTGCTCACCCACTTTGGCGATCATGTGCTCCACCATCTCTTCCCGACTTTGGATCATGGACTCCTTCCCGCTCTCTATCCGGTGTTGTATGAGACATTGGACGAGTTCAAGGGTCATCTCCGTGAATGCAATCACATCGAGCACATGATCGGCCAGCACAAGCAACTACTGCGCACCGAACCCAATCCAAGGGCTCCTGGTGCCGGGAAATAGGTTTAGTTTTTCTAAGTAAATAAATGTATCCTTATAATTTTATTTGTACACATATTCTTAATGTTTTTATTTTTCGGAAAATGTCCTTAAACCAGTACTTGAACGTCCATAAATTTTCTTAATTATGTCAGATTTTGGATTGGTACACCTCTATCGTCATAACTTCAATGTTTTTGTTAAATGAAAAGATTCTTATCTCTTTTAAAATTATAACGGATTTTGCAAATGACCTAACCAGGTGCGCCCGAAACAATTAGGGGATTTTTTCAGAAAAATTCGATAAGACCCACTTATCGCATTTCCAAAAAAATTCCAAACAAGCAGCGTTTGCCTTTCTGACCTTATCTTGGTAAAATCAAGCTCCCATTGAGCTAAATGTCTAATCTGTTTTCAAGCTTTCAATAAAATAAAACACATCTGTTAAATTGATTTACATTTATTTTGTTCCTTTTTTGTATACTTTTCATTTAGTGTCAAGTGATGATCTCTTATCTCTTTATCATTGCTTGATAGAGTCAAAATTAAACATAAACATAAGCGCAGTGTATAGCTCGTGTCGTCCGTAAGTCTTGTCTGGTCTGTATGACAAATAATTGAGAATACATATAGAGCAAAATATTCGAACAGCGGGCGACATTTACCGGAGGACATTATCGCGAACCTTAACTTTGACGGGGCTCACTCATTTCGCGATCATTCTCGTGTTGTTGGCCTGAGAATCGATGGTTCATTGATAGTTAGTTGGTTGAATGCATTTCGAAAGTTGTATAAAAATATATAAATACAAATACAAATACAGGTCCAGCGAGCAGTGTCCCCATGGCAAATGTCGCGCTTACACAAAAGCCAGATATACACAGTGTTGCTATAGTACACTGATCACTTATGTATGCTAATCGATGGTGATCCATTCGATGTTGTTTGCTTGCTTTTTTCTTTTTGCCTAAGTGCATGTGGCGTTGTTGGTGTTTTGCCTCCCGTCGTTTTCGATATATATTTTGTTATAGTTTTATTATTTTGTTTTTAAATTAAGAAATTAAATTAAAATCATAAACATAATCATTATGAAATATCATTTAAAATAAATTAAAAAATGAAATGGCATTTAGAATTCGTTTTCAGGAGCAAGGTCGAATCTTGGTGGGAAGGCCAATCCGTCGAATTGTGGCCTAACGGACGTCGCACGGGGCTGCGGAATAGAAATAAGCAAAAAAAAAAATTTAGATTAGTTGGAAAGGAAATACTAAAATCAAACATGCCGGGAATGGGACGAGTCGCCTGGTTGGATCGACTGCATAGGATAGAACGATAACGAGTACGCCCAGCACTCGCTGATCACGTTTCGTAGTGCCAGCGAGTGTGGGGGTGAAATAACGATAACCAAGGTGGTACGAAGTGAGCGAACGTAAATGCTCTTCGACAGAGAGAGTGTCTTAAGGGGGTAGACGAGTGTCGGATGAGAGAGGAGCGAGAGCGATTGACGAGTACGATAACGAGACGACAAGACGTAACGAATGAGTTTGATCGACGAGAAAGACAACGAGATGAGCTGCGGTTGACTGACTAACAGTGACAGTGTGTGTGTGAGGAAGTGGTTGGGAAGATTTCCGACACAACAAGAACGGGTCAAGACGTGCACGAACACGTCCACTTACAAATGTTTCAAGAAAGTTTCTACTGCTCCAGCAGCGCGCTCTTGCGGCCCTTTGACGCTGTCGGCTGCAGTACACATGTACAAATACAGTTTATAATAATATAGTGGAAGAATAGTATTGTTTTTTTTTTTTGTAAATGGTTGTAGAGAAAGCAATTCGATTGATTTAGCCTGGTGCTGCTGTTGCTTGCTTGTTTATTTGCTTATTTTTTTTTTGCTTTTCGTTTGGTTTTCTGTCAAAATGAACGCATTCTTGGTTGGTATTCGATGAATTGATCCATTGATATCTGATTTGGGTGGCCTCTAATTTTAACATTTTGGTCTGCTAGCGAATGTCGTATGATGCATCTATATTATTGTTAATAGTATTTATTTTATAATAATTCTTATAAGCTATAATTCTCTTTGCATGGTTTTGTTCTCTCATATTATCGTAATTGAACCATAATTGGATCGCTATATAGATTTTTTTTCACTTGGTGGTGGTGCCTCAGATTTAGATCTGTTTTTTTTTTTTGGTTGTGACAAGAAGCAGAGATTTCGCGCGCAATATGAAAGGGAAGAATATACACATTATTCAAGAGCTGATCCAGAGAATGTGATGGCTATTGCAGCAGAATGGAGGCTCAGTGTTCGAGTGAGAGAAGTTCAAATGGGATTTAAATTTTTTCTTTTTCTCTGAGGGGGATCATTGGGGCTATAAGGGGGCATGACCATGAAGGGACTGATGAATATCTGGGTGGAAACTTACCGCTGGGCTGGCACCACGACCGACAGAACCGGCACGTCCCTTGGCGCGGAATTTGCTGATTGCCTGCTCGGCCAGATCGGCACGCTCCTCGGCCTCCTCGAGCTCCTGCTGAGCCTTGCGGAATTTGGCCAAGTTGAGGGCGGCGATTTCCTCGGCCTCCTCGATCTGCCTCTTGTATGTCTTGATCTTCTGTTGCAGCTTGTCGACCAGATCCTGCATGCGCTCGTGGTTCTTGCGGTCCTCCTCGGACTGGAAGCTCAGCTCCTTGACGCGACGCTCGGACTTGCGCAGGTTCTTCTGGGCATCGGCGTGCCTCCTCTGCTCACCATCCAGCTCGTTCTCGAGCTCGCGGACGCGCTGCTCCAGCTTCTGGATGGCCTTCTTGCCACCCTTGAGGGCGTTGGCCTCGGCCTCGTCCAGACGGACCTGCAGCTCCTTGATCTGCTGCTCGAGGGCCTTCCTCAACTTCTCCTGGGTCTGGGCATGATCCTGCTCGGCGCGGAGCTCATCAGCCAGGCGGGCGGCATCGACCATAGCCTTCTTGGCCTTCTCCTCGGAGTTCTTGGCCTCGTTGAGGAGCTCGTCCAGGTCGGAGTGCAGGGTCTGCAGCTCGGACTCGAGCTTCCTCTTGGCAGCGGAGATGGAGGCGTTCTGGGCAGACACTTCGTTCAGCTGCTCGTGGGCATCGGCCAGCTCCTGCTCGGCCTGGCGACGGCCGCGATCGGCCTGCTCCAACAGAGTGCGGGACTCCTCCAGTTCGTTCTGGAGGGCGTTGGCACGACGCTCGGAGATGCCCAGCTGTTCGCGGGCATCGTCGCGGGCGCGCTGCTCCTCCTCGAGGGCAGTCTGGATGTCCTTCAGCTGCTGCTGGTAACGCTTGATGTTCTTCTGGGCCTCGGCGTTAGCCTACAAATAATTAAACACAAAGATAGTTAGTATTGAGCTGGGAAGACTCCACTTCCTTCAGATGTTTAGTGGCTAAGGAACCCACCTTGTTGGCGTGATCCAGGGCAATCTCAAGCTCGTTGATGTCAGCCTCCAGCTTCTTCTTCATGCGCAGGGCCTCAGCCTTGCCCTTGGCCTCGGCTTCGAGGGAAGCCTGCATGGAGTCGAGGGCGCGCTGGTGGTTCTTGCGGGTGTTCTCGAACTCCTCCTCCTTCTCCTGGATGCGGCGATCGATCTCCTGGCGGACCTGGGACAGCTCCAGCTGGGCGCGCAGCACCTTGTTCTCCTCCTGCTCCAAGGCGGCCTCAGCCTCCTCGAGAGCGGCCTGGAGCTCGTCCTTCTCGGCCTCCAGGCGCTTGCGGGCCTTCTCGATCTCGTGGATGTTGCGGCCACCCTCACCGATCTGGTCGAGCAGATCCTTGACCTCATCGGCCAAGTTCTTGTTCTCACGACGCACAGCCTCCAGCTGCTCCTGGCCCTCCTCGTAGGCGCCCTTAAGACGGAACAACTCGGTGGAGTAGTTGCGGCACTCCTTCTGGGAGGCATCGAGCTCAGCGGCCAAATCGTCGACCTTGAGCTTCCACTCGCCGATGATCTTGTCGAAGGCCTTCTGCTTCTTCTCGGCAGCGTTGGCAATGGCGTTGGCACGGTCGACCTCCAGCTGGAGATCCTCCACCTCGGTGGACAGACGCTGCTTGGTCTTCTCGAGGCCGATGCACTTCTGGTTGAGCGACTCGATGGTCTCCTCAGCCTCGGCGAGACGGGCCTGCAGCTTCCTCTTGGCCTCCTCCAGCTCCTCGGAGCGGGCAACGCCATCGGACTCGTACTTGCTGCGCCACACCTGGGCCTCAGCGTTGGCCTTGCTCAGCTGGCGCTGCAGATCGGCCTTGCCCTCGGCTTCCTCCTCAACCTGCTCGCGCAGATTGTCCAGGTCGTGCTCCAAGTTGCGGAACTTGCCCAAAAGGGTGGCACGCTCGCGCGACTCCTCGTCGGCCAGACGCTTGGTATCCTCCAGCTGGGTGGTCAGCGAGATCTTGATCTTGGACAGCTGAGACACCTGCGACTCGGCCTCCTCCAACTGGCGGAGCAGATCGGAGTTCTCAATGGACAGCTTCTTCTTGCTGGCATCGAAGTCGTTCAGAGTCCTGTTGGTCTCATCCAGTTTCGACTGCACCTCGTTGAGGGTGTGCTGCAGCTGCTTGGCGATCTTCTCCTGGGCAGCCTGTTTAATTTGAAAATTATGTATGCATTTAGTATGGGTTGGTGTTGGTTATTTTCTATTTTCTTGGCTGTGAGTGTGACATTTCGGTTTCGTGTCAAGTGCTGTACAAGGCATTTGGGGATTTAGTAGATCAAGCTGGGAGATTACTTTAGTGGTGGTTCGTTTTAGTTTTTACATATTCTTTTCTAAAAAAGGGAATTTTTCGGTGTGGTTGCGTTGCAACTACGTTGATACTATACACAGATGTAGACGTGGCAAAACTAGAACTTTCAGCATTTTAATTTACAGCATCGCGTTGAGAGCAATAAAGTATATAGAGATCAATTTCAATACCTTCTCGTTGGTAATGTGGTCGACACCGGCGCGCAGATCGTTCAACTGGCCGTAGTACTCGTTCTTCTCCTTCTCAGCCCTGGTTTAGACAGATAGATAGAGACACAGAGGTTCGTATTTCACGGGTTAGTTCATGTTTGTTGGGGGAT